TGTTCGGCCTCGTTTGACCTTGCCTCTGCAAAGTCACCATACGGCCAAAATAGTTTCATAGTGCATGACAGGGGAAGTAAGGGGGCGGCTTACTGTCTGATGCCCCGTTTTGAGGAGTTAATCACATCTGCCGCATATCAATATGGTTGCATGAATAACTCATGAGTACACACGGAAATTTCAGATCGGTTTGCGGCCCGCTTCTGCACGGCTAATGCATCGTGGGAAAAGCCGAACTACGACGCGTGCGTTTTCATTTACATGCACAACGGTACGTGCATTGAGAAAAAGTGCCACGACGTACTATATGCGACGGTTCGTGTCGAACGGCGATGTATGTGTGACGTTTCAGTGTCCCGGTTCGTTCCGAAACACACTCAGATACCTGTTACTGTGGCTCAGCATCGTTTCCGCGCTGATGACGGTCGCCTCTTACGTGCTGTTCATAATTCTCAAGTAAGCTTCTGGCGAGTGGCGTGCCATCGACAGTTCCGCATGCATTTCGTCGTCACTGTCACACTACAAACATGACCACTGACTGACCGATCGCAGGTGGTGGCAGAGACGCCTATGGGCCAAAACCTTACTTTACATCGTAGGCTCTTGACGTACTTTAAACTTTAAACTTTCCTCCGTCATCCCTCATCCGGCTCGTTATGGTTATGGGCACGAGTGCAAGACAAATCGAGGCTACTCCACAATCACTTCTCTACTTCAGCGTTTTTGGTCAGCAGCTGTTCAGCAGTCCGTTCAGGGTACCTTTTCTGTGAGCTTACCTATGTTTTTCCAAGCTTGGTTCAGCCCAACAGATTCAGAGAAATCGAGCACTTTTTAGGAGGTTTTAGCCGCACGAGGATAAATCATGGGCGGGCGAGCGGCGGTCAACGACACCGTGTAACCGTGAAAATATTTTTGACCTAAGGATGGTCCAGAGGTAAATTTCCGGACGCGTATGTTGACTGTGATGCTGAGAAGATTAGCGAAAACATGGGTTAAGCAGGAAATTAGAGAGCTGGTAGTTTTAAGTGTCATCTAAACTTCCCTGAATTTCACGTGGCAAGCCTTAACTTCAATGCACATTGGTCGTAACACCGCATGAGTTATCGCCCACCGTTAGCAAAACTTTCACAAGCGAATGAACGCTAAGCTAATGCCATGTGTGTATGACTTCCCTTGATGCTATGGCATGCATTGCATTCTACCTCAACCGACTTCCTACAGTATTG